TCCACCCCCTTTTTTGTGTGTGTGGTGCTGAGGATCGAACTCAGGGCCTTTTGATGCAAGGCCAGAGCTTTACCGAGTTATATCCCCAGCCCAACGACACATTTTATCTCCAAGTACCTCTACCATTCCCTTGGCACTTAGCACATATCATATTGAATTGTTAATTTGTTGTATTACATCCTCAATTCACAGTAATCACTTGGTCTGGCAATGCTTGTGTCTTAGGTCTCTTTAGCTTTCAAGTAACTTGTGAATAGAGCTCTCAATAAAACCCTATTATCTGGGAATTGACAAAGCTTCAATGAAGTGTTGGAGCAATGATCATGATAGTTTCATGTTTAAGAACAACCTTGGTATTAATTTTCAGTTTAAAAGTAACATAATCCAGGCGTTGGTATGTTACTTTTAAACTTCTTTGACTATCCATACCCATACAAAACCATTTCATCAATTATCTAGTATTTGGAAATTATGAAAAGGCTGCAAGCAATTTGATCAGTCAGAAAGAATGATGACATAGGCTACAGAGAACATCTCCACATACATATACACCAGGCAGACCATAATCCCCCACCCCAAAGTTTCAAAGGGAACCACAAACTGCCCATGCACCCACACACTCCTATTGCCCTCAAATACTTGACTCATTGAGGAGAACAATCCATCCCATCCCTTCTTCCCAGCATGCATATTCCCTCCCTCCCGGGGATATTTCAGAAATTATGGTTTAGGTACTCACCGTCGCCCTTTGGGTCGCTAAGGGCGGTTGGGGGGACTACGAGCGAGCGATGAGCCCCCAGGAAACATTCCTTGGAAAACCGTCTCTGACAGTCATTGTGCACCTGAAACGATAAGAACACAGCAAAGAAAAAAAGAGAGAAAGAGAGAAAAAAAAAAGGATAGGGGAGAGAAAAGAAAACCTTGATCAGCGTTCGGTTCCAATATCAAAAATTGTACCCTTAATATTCTAATCTCCCTTTCTGAAATTTGGTGCCATATACAGACCCCTAACTCCCTGACCATCCCCACCTCACACTGACTTCCCCCCACGTAGCTATTCTTCCCAGGTTTCTGATTTCTACAAGGACTACATCCTGGACAATTTTTAGGGGACATGAATCTGATCTGGTTATTCAAAAGCAAGTCAAAGAGCCAGAAGACAGAGTCTTTTTTACTTTTTAATACTGGGGATTGAACCCAGGGGTGCTTAACCACTGAGCCACATCCTCAGCCTTTTAAAAATATTTTATTTCGAGACAGGGTCTCATTGAGTTACATAGGGCTTCACTAAATTGCTGAGGCTGGGTTTGAACTCATGATCCTCCTGCCTCAGCCTCCCAAGCTGCTAGGATTAAAGGTGTGTGCCACCACACCTGGCACAGACAGTCTTTAGAGAAGAACAGCATACTTCAATTTCTACTTAGAAAATTCAGTTTAAGAAAAGCATCTAAAAGGCTGGAAAATCAAGACCAGGATCTCTCCATCTCAGCCTTATTGATATTTTAGGCCAGATAATTGTTTGCATTGTAGGTAGGACCTTTAGCATAATCCTAGGCCTCTCTAACTACTAGATTCCAGTAACATGCCCAGCTTGAGTTTTTTAAAAATCAAAAGTGTCTCAAATAGCTCTGGAGCGTTGCAAAATTGATCGCAGTTGAGGATCACTGGTATAGAGACGTAGTAGTACTATAGTTTAAAAAATATGGTCTTTGCAGAATTATGTAGGAACCAAGACTCTTTTGTTTTCTGGCTGCATGACTTTGGGCAAATCATTTTACCTTTCTGAACCTCACTTTTCCTCATTCATAAAATGGATACAATGAGGCCTAGTTCAAATTGTATTAAGTGAGATTATGTATATAAAACATTCAATACATGGTGGCAATACCAATTTGTTAATATTATCAACGATTATTTACTTGCAAAGAAATACTCAATGAGGAAAAGAGAAGGTTTCTTAAGGATAAGCTCAGAATTCTGCTTTTTTTTTTTTTTGGTACTGGGGATTGAACTCAGGGGCGCACGACCACTGAGCCCCATCCCCAGCCCTATTTTGTATTTTATTTAGAGACAGGATCTCACTGAGTTGCTTAGTGCCTCACTTTCGCTGAGGCTGGCTCATGATCCTCCTGCCTCAACCTCCTGAGCCGCTGGGATAACAGACATGTTCCACCAAGACCAGCTCAGAATTTATTTTTTTATTTGACCATACTGCCATTAAGCAATTCAGCTTTTCCCATAGGTTAGAAGGTCTGACCAATTAATAACCATCAGATATGAGCCTTTTAAATGTCTCCCAAAGACTACCTAGCCAGAGGGACAGATTACTGAGCTCTATACTATGGAATCGAATCTGAATAATATTTGGGCTTAGTAACTCTGATAGTTCTATCTATGTATAGGCACCATTGAGCTCCGCCCACCCCTTTCTAGAACTAAAGTATATCAAAGAGATGAATAGAGTCTTACCGTAGAATTGCACCAGAGACACCGGAAATCTTGGAGACGGTGCTGACTGCCACAGCTCTCGTGACAAACGGCACACTGAGAGCTGACGGGAATGTTTCCTTCTACCCACTGATGAGGCATGATTTGCTGAAGGGGGAAAAGAGAAAAGAGGTAGAGGTTAGTGATATCAGGAATAAAGGACTAGCTGGAATAATTTTACTATGCTATGAAGGATCTTAGGTAAAAGCCCCCAAATTATTCATACTCCTATCTTCCCTGCTCTAATTCTAGTGACCAGTAACAGGTGGAAGTGCATGTGGGGCGGGGATTTCATTCTTTGAGATTGATTGGAAAGCAAGCTTGGGGAAGAGGTCTACTTTCCTTATCTGGCAACAGGAAAAATCTTCCTAACCCCCATGTATCATGACTGAAAGGGACATAATAGAGGCATATCTGGTACTTACTATTTCATCAGCAGGTAGGAGAAGATCATCAGTAATGGACAAGGTATTCCATTTACAGTCTTTGCTCGCTCTCAAAGCACATAACTTATGAGATTTCACTTTGCACACTGTGAGAAGAGAGGGGGGAAAAAAAGGAGATGAGTGTGAATCTTGTGCCGATAAAGATTCTAATTCCCTTCCCTAAGCTACTCTGCAAATTCAAATTCAGATGCATTCTAAATCGTTATGACCCACTGCCAAAGGTCTATTTCTAACATGAATCAGTTCCTCTTGCTTCTTACCAGCTCAACTTTCTACTTATTCAACTTGAATGGAAATTAACGGTAAGAAGGAGTTGATTTCTTTTCTACTCTCGTGACCATTAAGCTCCAGCCCCCCATTCCCAATTTTTCCTTTTCATCCACGAGAATTCCCTTTCAGGCTAGTTTCCTCCCTTCTTCTTTCCTTAACCTTACCCTTATCCCAGAGTGAGTGATCTAGAGCTAGTCGGGGATATTAAAGCCACCTGAGCTCCTTTACCCCTGTCTCCACCCACAGAGTTCCATTTTCAAAAAGAATAAAGAAGGTACCTTCACAGATGATGGCATCTCTCGATAAGGCAGGAATGCTTTCTCGACAAACATTGCAGTGCTGAGTCCGGGAACTGTGGCTGGAATACCAATAGTGCATTCCGACGAGGAAAGGGTTGTTTTCTGCGGCAGGTATCTAAAAGAAATCAAAGAGAAAAGAGAATGGAGGGTTAATCACAGAGAACTATTAGGAAAGGCTAGAAAATCTGCTGCTAGGATTCAATGATCTGCTATATAGGTGTCTGAGCATGCAAAGGGGAAGACTGAAAATTGGAGCCAATACCTGTTTGTTGTTGTTGTTGTTTTGTTTTGCTAATGATTTAAAAAGGGGAGAAAGAATAGAGAGCAGATCCTGAACTAGGAGCAATGTTCTTTAGAATGCTTGGCCAACTGCTGTATCAGTTTAGTCCAAGCAAGATTTGCTGTTAGCCTTGGCCTTGGTTCTCTTTAAGTCGACAGCAAAAAGGAGATAGTGAGTTAGAAAATCAGAGATAGTAAAATGCTCTGCCCCGGGAAGGAAGAAAGAAGGCAGAGCTCTGCCTCTGGACTAAGGAATACTTGTCAGACTTCACCTACTTCCTGGAAGAAGGGCAGTTACTCCCCTTTCTGACCCTACTGATACCAGGTGAGCAGAGCATTGCTTTACCTGGACAACAGTTAAAGGAATTTAACTCCTTATCTCAGCAACTTTTGCTCAAGCATGTTTTTCTGAATAGCAAGCTCAGACTGCCTATAGCAGTTTCCTGGTTAATAGACTCAATTCACTCAATAACTCACTAAACAAATATCTACCACTTGCTATATGCTTGACACTGCTTAATATATTTGGGATATAGTGATGCACAAGACAAAGTCCCTGCCCTCATGAAGTGACATTCTGTTTGGTGTTCTCTTACATGATAATGACTCTGACATTATTGTTCATCTGCTTATGAATACTGCAGTTCTGTATCACAGCCTGACTCTCATGACTGTGGGGAAGGCACCAGATATACCACTGATAGTTTGGGTGTTGAAAGGAAGGAAGGGGTGGCACTGAAAACCCCCAACTTTGTTTTTCTATATTTTCAAAGGACTTTTCCATTTTTTTCTATAATTCCTGTGATTAGAAAATCCTCTCAATTTCTCCTCTCTGCCTTCCTCTAGAGTTATGACATAGGCACACACACACATAGCATTTTATACTTGGCATGATAATGGATTGGGTTTGTAAAGGGATGACAAGACTTTTAAAATAATTGTGTACTTTCCTTGATATCATCTGATTGTGATCCATTAGAAGGAGAGCAATTGTGGGCTCTGCCACCTTAGGTGCTCAACCTTTATCAATTTATAGGAATCAGTCACTCAAGACAGAACCTGCATACAGCACTCTGTCTGGTCCCTTCCTCTCTACCTCTATCAGCCTGCAGACTATAGCCTAAACTACTACTGGATTGACTTGGAAGGTTCTAGAAGAAAAAGTTAATCTGATGAGCTAAAGGCTCATTAAAAATGGTCCAGAATTTCTTTGTGATAGGAATGTTTATTGTATATTGAGGACCTGGAAAACTCTAGGAAGATCAAATTAGAAAATGAAGAGTCCCAAGAAAGTGGCTTAGTCTTGGCTTTGGTACTCTGAGCTCTCAGTATCTTTGTATTCCTCAAGCCACTCGACTATAACTTTACAACACCTTCCCTCCTCCAATAATTATAAGAATTCTACAATGTGTTATATAAAATACTAGGCATTGGGTCTACAAAGATGAAAAAGCCACAGTTATGGCCCTCAAGAAGCTCTTAATTTATTAAAGAAGAGAAACTCTAAAATAAATCCTTTCAGTATACAGTAACAAGTGAAAATCTTTAATATGCAAGGTTCTAAAGGACATAAAATGGAAGAAATGCAAAACTCTGCCAATACAGAATACTGAATTCAATGGCCCAATTGGCTACAGAATAAAAAGGAATATATTAAGTGACAATTACTTAGGTTTAGCAGTTAAGGAGATGGAATTGATATTCCTGTTTATAAGGAAGCCGTGATGCATCTAACCCTGGAAAAGTATGTGTGATGGGTTGAATTGTGTGCTCCCTCCAAATATGTTCAAGTCCTAACCTCATACCTGTGAATGTGAAATTCACAATATTATTTGGAAATAGGTTCTTTACAGATGTGATCAAGCTAAGATGCACTCATGCTGGATTCAAGTGGGCCCTAATCTAATGACTGATGTCCTTAAAAGAGGGAAGTATGGGTACAGGCATGCAAGGACATAAAAGGGAACACTTTGTAAAGATAGGTAGTGCACAGATACGGGATAGAACACCATGTGACAACAGAGGCAGAGATTACAGTGATGGATCTCCAAGACAAGAAATGTCAGGTTTTGCAATCATCAGAAGATAGGAACAGGTAAAGAAGAATCCTCCCCTAGAGCCTTCAGAGAGACTATGGTCTGGTCAACAACTTGAATTTAGACTTCAAGACTCCAGAAACTTGACAGAATAAGTTGCTATGTTTTAATTCATCCAGTTTGTGGTTGTTACAGCAGTCCTATAAAATTAATATAGATTTTGATACTGGCATATGGGAGCTTTTATAACAAATACCTAAAAATATGGAAGTGACTTTGGAATTGTGTAATGCATAAAGACTGTAAGAATCTCAAGGCACATGATTTACAAACCCTGGATTGCCTAAAATAGAATATTGCTAGAAACATGAACATTTTTTAAAATATATATTTTTAGTTGTCAATGGACCTTTATTTTACTATTGATACGTGGTGATAAGAATTGAACCCAGTGCCTCACACATGGTAGGCAAGGGTTCTGCCACTGAGCCACAGCCTCAGCCCTAGAAACATGAACATTAAAGGTGCTTTTGGTGAGGTATCAGACAGAAATGAGAACCAGAGAGGATTGGAAGAAAGGCAATGCTTTTTATGGAGTGACAGAGAACTGACTGAATTCCATTATACTGTTGGGTAGAGTATAAAATATGTAAATTATAACTTGGATATTTAGCTAAGGAGATACCCAAGCAAAGTAGGGAAGGTGCACCTTGGTTTCTATTTGCTGTTTAGTGTAAAATTTAAGAGGAAAGAGATACATTGAGAAAGGTACTTGTGCTAGTCTGCTCGGGTTTTCATAACAAAATATCATAGACTGAGTGGTTTAAACAACATAAATCTATTTTCTCATATTTTAGACTTGAGTAGTCCAAGAGCAAAGTGTCAACCCATTTGGTTCCTGGTGAAGACTTTCTTCCTGGCCACTTTCTCACTGACTGCTCACATGGCCTTTCTTTAATGCATGTTTGTAGAGAAATAGAGATCTCTTCTCCTCTTCATGTGAAGCCAACAGTCCTATTGGATTAGGCCACCACCCTTATGATTCCATTTAAATTTAATTCCTTCCTAAAATTCCTATCTCCAAATATAGTCACAATGGGGGCTGGGGTTTCAATATAAGAATTTGGGGGAGGGCTGGGGCTATAGCTCAGTGGTAGAGCACTTGCCTAGCATGTGTGAGGCACTGGGTTCAATCCTCAGCGCCACATAAAAATAAATAGATAAATAAATAAATAAAGGTATTGTGTCCATTTACAACTAAAAAGTATTTTAAACAAAAGGAATTTGGGGAGACAATTCAGTCCATAATAGAACTATTAAATGAAAAGTCACCAGAACTTAAATATTTGTAAATTAACATTCTAGCCTTATTCCAAATCAGAAGAAAGTGTGCTCTGGAGAGAATATCAACCATAGATATTTTCCCTAGAAAGATTAGATGTGGAACACATGGCTCCAACCAACTGTCTCAGCAGGATTGCTCTTAACCTTAGACCAAAAAGAACAGAGAACTAAATTAAGGAAGATTGTCAGACTTCTGAGACTATATAGCATAAAACAGACTGATAAAGCTACTCATCTCTGAATGTGTGTTATCCTTCAGGAAAGTGACTTCAAGGGATGGCTTAGAGTCTAGAAGACTGCTGAGAGAAGCTCAAGGGCCAGAATTGCTGCTGTTGCCAACACAGGAGTATGGACCTATAGGGCAGGGCAACTGCCTCTTTGGTTCCAACGAGTAGGGTTCCCTTCTGAGTTCCAGAAGGTTCAGCTACTTCCTTGGTTACAAAGAGAGAATGCCACTCAGGTGCCTGAGATGGTAGAGCCAGGAGACAGAACATAAAGGCACAGATAATTATTCTCAAGTCTGGAAATCTAATGAAATTGTCTTTCTGGGTTGCCAACTTCCTTCAAACCAGTACCTTTTGTTCCTTCTGTTTTTTTTTTCCATTTTAGAATGAGAATGTCTATCCTGCGTCATTCTCCACATTGTAATTTAGAAGCAGATATGTTGTTTTCTGTTTCATAGTTCCACAGGTGGAGAAGAATTTTGCCCCAGGAAAGACTATACCCAGAGTTTCACTCATGCCTGCTTTAGATTACTCAGAAGATGAGAGTTTGGAATTTGAGTTAATTATAGAACGGGTTAAGGCTTCTGAAGATGTTTTGATGTGGTAAATGCATTTTTTGTGTTAGAAAGGTGAACTAAGTAGTTAGAATTGTGTTTCCCCAAAAAGTCCTAACCTCTGTATCTGTGAAGATGGTCTTACTTTGCAATGGAGAAATAGAGTCCTTTAGGATGTAGTCAATTTAAGAGAAGGCCATACTGGATAAAGAACAAAATCAGCATATTACAGGAATACAGGTATACCAATGTTAATAGAGGTACAGTTCACAATAGTCAAATTATGGAACAAGCCCAGGTGCTTTTCAATAGATGAATGGAAAAAAATGGATATATATATATACAGAATGGAGTTTTACTCAGATGTAAAGAATTAAATTATGGCATGTGCTGATGAATGGATGGAATTGGAGAATATCATGATAAGTGAAATAAGCCTGGCTCAGAAAATCAGGGTTGAATGTTTTCTCTAATATGTGAAAGAGAGAGAGAAAAAAACAAAGGAATAAAAAGTGTGTGGGGGATCTCACCAAAATACAAGGGAGACCAATAGAGTAAAGGAAGGGAATCAAGAGGGAGAGAAGAGGGAAGGGCATGGAAACATACTAGGGACTGAAATCTACCAAATTATGCTATGTTCATGTATGAGCACATCATGATGAATCTGTTTATATATTT